GTCTGCCTCTCAGAGGTCTCATTCTGTTTTCTGCCAGCAACTGCAGATTTCCTCTGGCTGGGAGGCTGGTGAGCACCATGGCAAAGCCTACTTGTTTCTGGTGCTTTTCAGGACATGAGTCAAGGAGACAGTATTTTTGCAACCCAGCAGCAAAAGCAAAAAAAAACCCCAGAACGATCGTATGTGTTGAGCTGTGACATGCTGTCCCCACCACAAGGAGTGACTCAGCTGGTTGAGTGTAGGGTGTAGGGTGAACTCAATCACCGGGCTTGACTCAGCTGCTTATGCAAGAGGTGTCCACTGCTGTTGGGAGTGCTTTGGGGTAACAGGGCTGTGGGATATGCCACAGGTTGTAGGAGAGACCCATGTTCAGTGGAAGTCCTCTGGGATATCCCAGGGTGTCTCAGTGATGCTAGATGACCAAAGGTGAGCAGTTAAACTGCATTCCTATGCCATAGACAGCTGAATTTAATTATCTGAATTGGGACCTGAATCCAGATTCAGGACAGAAATACTTGGATTTCTGGGGGAGATGTCAGGGTAGGAGTGGCTGCTCTCTGTTACCTGGGAGGCCAGATTAGAGCCATTCATCTAGTCTCAGGCTGTCTCATCCTCTGAAAGCTCTGAAAATCATGTGCTTCAGCTACAGAAGCAACTCTAGGATGGTACTGGTGGCTTTGAAGAAAAACACCACAGTTGTAACTGAAACCATTGAATGAAGTGTTGCATAAGATTATACCAACCTGTATCCCTCCTTTCTTCCCTACTTTCCTTTTCTGTGCTTGTTTCATCTTCCACAACTCAATAATGTTTTTTCTTTGTTTCACTTTCCTTTTATTTTTCAAGTATTTCATATCCTTGTGTATAGAAACATTAAGGTAATATAGAGGATAAAGGACTCCATCGCACCTGTTACCAAACAGTAGAATGGACCCCATCCTGTCAGGTACAGTCACTGAGCTGTACAGGCCCACTAGTTTGCAACCAATCCCCCTTACAGAAGAGCCACAAATACATTAATTCCTGTATTTCACCAGCTCTGCATGCGCTGTCTTGGCTGCTGTGATACAGCAAACATAAAACTTCTTTGTAAGCAAGGAAGGTAGGTGGTCTGCACTGAGACCTCCGCTGGCTTCACAACACCGCAAGGCGTGCTTTGGGCCACATATTGATTATGATCTTAGCTGCTGTAGGTGATACGCTAGCTGAGTTGGCATCTTTTGGAGTGAGATAGCAGTTTAGGTCCCAGCTGTGATATCTCACTTGGGTTTTAAGTGTCTAAGGTACGAATACAATAGTAAAGGGAGGAGCATACCTACTTGCAGTACCCATTATTTGGAGCTGTACTGGCAGACAGGGACTTTTGGTGATACCTCTCCACTGCAAGATGCGCCTGTTAACCACTAGGCAAAGTTGCCTTTCCTTTCTGCATGGGCAGCAAAGAGCATGGTGGGGTAAAGGATGGAGCTTGGTCTTCCCTGTGGGAGAGGCGACCATACCCCTGGGCTGCAGGCCGAGGAGCTGTGAGACTAACCAGCCTCTTCTGGAAAGCAACTTGGAGGTTTTTGCAGGAGGGCTGAAATCAGGGCTGTCACTCACTGGTGACTCCCACTCTTCCTGACCTGTTTATCAGCCTGAGGGTTGGTTTGGTGAATGCCAACAAGTAGGAATCTGTGCATCTGTCGAGTGAAGCAGCAAGACTGGGGAAGGAGCAGTTGGGTGGTGGGGACTCCCAAAACTTGAGCTGAAGCAAGTGGTTCTGGAGGTCAGACCCTGATGTTTGCAGGTGTCATACTCCTGCAGCAGTGCTGTGATCCCATGGGGCTCCAGAACAGGATTGGGCCTTCAGCGAATGAATAACCAAACCTGGCAAGCCCCATCTACTGTGCCATAAAATGAACATTTTATGGAGGAGAGGAAAGAAAAAAAGAAAGAAGAAAAGACAAGATGGGTATGGAAGTGCCAGGTTTAGTCAAGGCAAAGAAGCATCTCTGTGAGTACCTGGGCTCCTGCTCATTTCCGTGTGGGTGTTTGGCTTTCAGTCCTCACCAGCTCCTATCTCTCAATCGCTGCCACCACAGGAAAACGCTTGCTGCTTACCACGTCACTCTTCACACACCACAGGCACAGCTGGGAGGGTTTTCAGGTTGTGGCACCCATGAGACACACAGTACACTAGTTCGTGGTGGCTTTTACCCACCTCTCCCCATCTCCCTCCCCCCATCCTCAATGGCTTTATTTGGTTTTTAAGCTGAAGACACTTTGCAGAGAGAAGCAGGCACTTCTTCTTGTGGTTTGCATCAAAAACCCTACAGTAAGCCTAACACTGTGTCTGCTCTAGCTGTTACTCAAACGTGCTCCTTTACAAGTCACTCTTACGTTTGGCTGTTTTAGCTATACGGGATCACAGCTGGAGTGCAGAGAGCCCTGCCTCTGGTCAGAGAGGTGTTAAATGCTGTTAATCTTCAGTTACTTAACCACAAGAGGTGATTCAGCACTCATTCCTTAGTCTATGCTCTTGGGGTGTCCCTGCATTGGTGTCAAGCACAAACCACTGTGCCGTTGCAAAGAAAACATCCCTAACAGTCATTTAGAGTGGGATATTTCCGATCTTCAAATGCTTAGAAATGCAATCTCGAGTCTGGATCAGGCCATCCAGACTCCATCCATAGCATGTGGACAGAGTCAGGCCTTCCCAGGACTTGGCTGATCCAGCCTTATTCAGGTGTCAAAGGAAGCTGACCTGTATCGCCCTCTAATAGTAACAACCTCTGCACATCTGGCTCTGCAACCCCTTTGAGATACCCATTTACAGCCGCATCACCTTCTGGTAGTGAAAAGGAACATTTTACCCTCTTCTTGGTTACCTTTGCACAGCACCAAATCCTTGTTTTAGGTACTGATCTGTGGAGTAGTTACAGTTGTTCGAATGCTTGCCAATCCTCTGTATTTATGGGTTGAAATTCCCCTGGGGAACATCTCCCAGAAAGCAGAGAGCCATTTTAATGGCTTTTCTAAGCACCTCTGTTCTTTGTCCCTATTTAATCACTTCAATGCCCATTTTCCAATTGTACACAACATTTTATTAAACTGTACAAACAGCACTGGCATTTAAAAAATTCATGTTAACTGTTCTAATTAAACATGCTGACCAGCTGCACAAATTGTGAGCACAGATGCCCCCTGTGTTTCATACAGCACAAACAAGGATTTCATGAGAGTCACTGGACTGAAACCTTTTTCAGGGCACTCTGCTTTTCTTGTCGATATTAGGCACTTCTGCCCTTGGTCCTGCAGGATTCGGTACCTGCAGTCACTGCCAGTGGTATCCCAGCACTGCCTGCAAGGCCACATTCATTCTGTTGGGAGGTCTAAGTTGACAGCCTGGTCCAGTAGAGCCAGAAAGGCACTTCTGAAGGCAATCTGATTTTGGGACGTCTCACCTTCTAGACCTTCTCTTT